CACACACACACACACACAGAGAGAGAGAGAGAGAGAGAGAGAGAGAGAGAGAGAGAGAGAGAGAGAGAGAGAGAGAGAGAGAGAGAGAGAAGAAAGCCTCGGTCCCTCGCTGTCGGCCATGAGCCACACGAAGGGCACTCACGGCGTACAGGGAGGCGGCAGTCATGAGAAGGGAGTGGCGAGTATTTTGAATGCATTTGGCTGTATTTCGGTCTAAATTTGTTCCGCAAAATTGCTCACGAAGCGCACAATTGGAGCAGGTATTTGACTGCACTCTCAATGACAAGGGATCAGCGAATCTGAAGTGCAAAAGTTGAGCAGCAAGTGTTTCACTGCACTTACCATAAGGGAGTAGCGAGCTTGCTTTTGGGCCTGGCCGCTCCGCCTCTCACCCAATCTGAGAGTAACTTCACTATTTGTTTTTGTTTTGTGTTATCGTTTTGTGTTGTTGTTCTGTTCTTGTGTTTGCTTTTGCTGCTGTTGTTTTTTTTGCTGTTGTTTTTTGCTCGCAAGTTCTGTTCTTGTTTTTGCTGTTTTTGCTGTTGTTGTATTTGGCTGTATTTCGGTCTAAATTTGTTCCGGAGAAACAAAAAAAAACAAACAGAACTACTGTTCGGTTTTCGTCTTGCTTTTGGACTTGCGCAATTACCAACGTGGCATATCTATGAATGGGCATATCTATCTTTGAATTGTGCAATTTGGCTACAGATTGAAGGCGTAATTGGCCCCGCTGCTGCTTTTTTTCTGCGATAAGTAGGGCAAGGGGGAAGTCATCACACGACTGCCATATAATACTACTAATTGGTGGAACCATCTGCTGAGGCACATTGGGACGTCTGATCCACTTCGAGCTCAAAGTGTGGGTGCCAGATCGCAGCAGACCTGAGTGAGCCACAGTGCTTGACAGCGGTAAGAAGGTGGAGGCAGAGGAGGAGTAGGAGGACGGAAAGGAGGTGCAGCAGCAGCAGCAGGAGCAGCAGCTATACTGTCTCACCGAGGTTGGCGCACAGCTCCGTCGGCTGCAGCGCCGGTGGTGGAGCATGATGGGATAGGTGCACTGCAGCAGCAGGACCAGCTGCTAATGAGGAGACCGGGGGGCAGCCGAAGCTGCTGTACAGTGTCTACTAACTCGAACAACAAGATGGCGATGGATTTCCGATCTGGCGGACGGGTATGGCGTGGGCTTGAGTTTCTGCCTCACATCCTCAAGATTCGGCCTACTGTCTCGTTTGTGTACGCCTTCATGCTGCTGTTAGGCATTAGCATGCTCGTTCTCTACCCTTTCAACAGCAACCTTAAGCTGGGGGGATCACAAGAAGGCAAGTGCACCCATCCAAATTTCAACCTGACAAGGTCTGAGCTGCTCGAGGAGTATGGAGCTAAGCTGTATTTCTACACTCATGTGTCGGGAGCAGAGCTGATATCGGTTGTCCTTAACGATGCGAACAAGGTCTTTGCTATATCATTCCGGACCCCTGTTGATAGTGACCAGGGCATGCCTCATATCTTGGAACACAGTGTTCTCGATGGGAGTACCAAGTACCCTGTCAAGGAGCCCTTTGTTGAGCTCCTAAAGGGCTCCCTATACACCTTCCTCAATGCTTACACGTACCCAGACAGAACTGTGTATCCCTCAGCAAGTGTGAACCAGCAAGACTTCCGTAATCTTGTGGATGTCTATCTGGATGCTGTGTTCAATCCAGCTTGTGTGGAAAATAAGTTCATATTCCAGCAGGAAGGATGGCGGTACGAGCTCGACAGCGCAGACGGTAATATAACCCTCCAAGGCGTCGTGTACAGTGAGATGAGGGGGGCCTATTCGGACCCCGATCAGCTCGTTGCGCGGTATACGCAGCAGGCTCTGTTCCCAGACAACACGTACAGGTTTGAAAGTGGCGGGGATCCAGAGACCATCCCCTCTCTGACCTACGATACGTTTCAGGACTTCTACAAGAAGTTCTATCACCCTTCCAATGCGAGGGTGTGGTTTTACGGCAACGACGAACCCTGCGAGAGACTGGACATCTTGGACAGTTACCTCCGAAACTATGATCCCTACCCCGAGGCAAGGACGACCTCCGTCATTCAACACCAGCCACCGTTCGCGGCGCCGAAGACAGTGCAGCAGTTCTATCCTGTGACAAGCACTCAGGCCAAGGCAACCGTGACTGTGAATTGGGTTCTGGACCACCAGGACACTCCTATGGACATTGAAGAACAGACAGCTCTTGCTGTACTCAATCATCTTTTGCTGGGCACACCTGCATCCTTGCTGAGCAAGGCTCTGATGGATAGCAAGCTGGGAGACATGCTTGTGGATGACGGCGTCGATGGTACGTTGCTGCAAACTGTATTTGTTGTGGGCCTCAAGGGGGTGGCCTTAGACAAACTGGCCGAAGTCGAGCAGGTGGTCCTGGACACACTGCGGCTTGCGCGCGACAAAGGGTTTCCTCAGCTTGCAGTAGATGCGTCACTTAACACCATCGAGTTCAGCCTCCGCGAGAACGACCCCGGGACCAAACAGCCCAGGGGACTTGTGCTGTTCCTGGCAGCGCTGACAAACTGGCTCTATGACGAGGACCCCATGGATGAGCTCCGCTTCGAAGGTCCCTTGAGAAGTCTGCGCGCAAGGTTGACCAGTCCGGAAGCCGTCCGCGACGTCTTCGGTCAGTTGATCGACAACCGCTTTTTGAAGAACACGCACCGGGTCACCATACACCTGCTGCCGAAAGTCGGGCTTGGGGAAGAAACAGTGCGAAAAGAACAGGAGAAGCTGCTTGCGTACAAAGCAAGCCTCAGCCCTCAGCAGCTGGATGCTCTGGTTGCTGAGACGCATGCAATCCACGCCTGGATGAACAAAACTGATGATCCCGCGGACCTTGCCAAGGTGCCTGCCTTGCGGCTCGAGGATATCGACAGGAACTCCCCCCGCATCCCGACAATCGTGTCCGGATTCCAGGACGCAACCATCTTAGAGCATCCGTTGGACACAAATCGGATTCTCTACGTCGATGCCGCCTTCAGTTTGCGTTACGTGGACTCGTCTCTACTGCCCCTCACCGTTCTGTTGATCAACTCTCTCGTAGAAATGGGAACGGCAGAGCAGGACTATGTCGAGTTCAGCCAGACAATCCACTCAAAGACAGGCGGCATAAGTGTGAGCATGGAGGTCATATCGGTTCAAGGGAGTGACGACCCAGCGACGTATCTGGTCGTGTCGGGGAAGAGTGTGGAAAAGAATGCAAAAGATCTCTTCGACCTGATGTACAAGGTGTTGGTCGACGTTAAACTGGATGATAAGCAGAAGTTTGCGGAAATAGTTTCGAGAACGAGGCGGAAGCTGGAAGACAAGTTCATTAGCAAAGGGCATCGTCTTGCACTAGTCCAAATGCAGGGCAAGGACAATACAGCGGGCTGGATCTCACAGCAGTGTGGAGGCCTGAGCTTCTTGCTGTACCTCCGTCTGCTTGAAGCGAAGCTTGATCAGACCTGGCCGCAGGTGATGGCCTCAATGCAGGACCTTCGACGCCAAGTGGCGACTCTCACAGACGCGATCTTGAATCTGACCGGCGAGGAGGATACCCTTGCTGACACTGCCTCATACGCCCGGGACTTCCTTAATAGGTTCTCTAAATCTGAAGGTTCGTTGCGCGCAACACGGAGTTCCCTCTTGCCGCCTTTCAACGAGGCAATGACCGTTCCAACACAGGTTAACTATGTTGGTAAGGGCGGCAATGTGTACAAGGCAGGATATCAACTCCAGGGTAGTGCCTTTGTCATCACCAACTACATCCAGGGAAAGTGGTTATGGGAGGAAGTGCGGATAAAGCGGGCGGCGTATGGTGCGTACTGCTCGTTGGATGCGATCACAGGCTTTCTTGCGTTCCTGTCCTATCGCGATCCGAACGTGGTCTCCACACTGACGACGTTCGATAAGACTGTGACCTTCCTGGAGGAGCTGTCGATGAATGACGACACGCTGACAAAGGCAATCATCGGGGCAATCGGGAGTTTCGATCCGTACTCTCTCCCGTTTGTTCAAGGATACACAGCCTTCATCCGGTTTGTCGCAAAGGTGTCAGATGAGGAGAGGCAAGAGTACAGAGAGGGGATCTTGTCAACAAAGGTTGATGATTTCCATGACTTTGCAAAATGGCTCAAAAAGGCAATGTATGGAAACAAGGGTTTTGTTGCGATTGTTGCGTCTGAGGGTGCCGTGGCAGCTGCTATTGCACAGGAACCAGGCCTTAACCTCAACGTTACGCATGTTCTTTGATAGATTGTCTATGGCCGTAAAAAAAATTGTTCGTCATTGTGCAGTTTGTTGGGAGGAGGACCATGCACAGGGGGTCAAAGGAAGAACTAGAGAGTACTCAGGGATTGGAATGACCCTTGTAATAGTTCGATGATGTTATCAAATATGTGCTAGTATACCATATAATATGGCATATACGAGTCTTCTTCTTCTTCTTCTTCTTCTTCTTCTTCTTCTTCTTCTTCTTCTTCTCATTCTTCTTCTTCATTCTTCTTCTTCATCATCTTCTTCATCATCTTCCTCTTTCTTCCTTTCTCATCTTCTTCCTCTTCTTTCTTCCTCTTTCTCCTGTTCTTTCTTCTTCTTTGTTCCTCTTTCTTCGTTTTCTTCCTCTTCTTTCTGCCTCTTTCTCCTCTTCTTTCTTCTTCTTTCTTCCTCTTTCTTTCTCTTCTTTCATCTTCTTTCTTCTTCTTTCTTCTTCTTTCTTCCTCTTCTTTCTTCTTCTTTCTTCCTCGTTCTTCCTCTTCTTCTTCTTCTTCTTCGTCGTCGTCGTCTTCTTTTTCTTCTTCTTCCTCTTCTTCTTACCTTTCCTGACTCCACCTCTGCTTCTCCCCCCTCCTGCCCATTCCTCCATCCAATCCTCTCCATTCGTTAACTTCTACCTTTGCCCATTCCTCGACCATTCGTCAATCTGTCACCGTACCCGCCTGTCCATACCGCTGCCCGTCCATCCACTCACCTGTCTGCCTGTTCATTAGGCTTCCTGTCAGCACTGTGTGCGCTTGTCAATCCGTCCATTTGTCCATAGGCGTGACCATCACTCCATTTGATGTTCAGGCTTCTGTTACTCTGGAGAATTTACCCAGTGGTCAATCTTCCAGTCTGCAGGTCTTCATTTGGTGCATGCATATATCTATTGGTCCGTCTCTCCGTCTCTGTCCATCAATCTGTCCTTTCTATCTGTTGATCTGTCACCTGCCAGTCTGGTGCTTGGTCTGTCCAGTTGTCCGCCCAGTAATCCATCCGTCCGTCGTCTGTCTGTGCCTTTGTGCCTGCAAGTGCACACGTCTACTAATTAGTACGTCTGTCCATCTGTTTGTATGTCTGTCACCCTGTCAGTCTGGCGATATGGTCTTTCCGTCCATCCATCAATCCATCCAACTGTTGGTGCGTTTGTGATTGCCAGTTTATTGGTCTTTGGGCGGTGCATGTCTGCTGATAAGTCTGTCTGTCTGTCCGTTGGGTTGCCCTTCCTTTGGCTGATTCGTCAACTTGTCAGTCTGCCGCATCGTCTGTCCGTTCATTCATGCAGCCAGCGAACCCACTGTCCTCGCCCTTGTGCCTGCCTCTCTATCTATTGGCCTGCCAGCCTGCCTGTCCGTTAGCGTGTCCTGCTTTGTTTGCCCGTCCATCTGTCTTTTTGTCTGTGTATGTCTGCCTTCCTAGTGGGTGCATCGTGTGGGTTTTATGGGTGTGTCGCTCTCTGTCCGTTCACCCATCCATCTATCCATCCATCCATCCATTCAACTATCTGCGACTTTGTGCCTGCCACTCTGTGGTTCTTTGGTGTGTGCATACATGCGGCGTTGATCTGTCTGTTCGTCCTTCCCTCTGTTGGCCTGGCTGCTTAGTGGGCGCATCGTGTGGGTTTCACGGAGTTGAATAGCTGCCTTCTTCACCCGAATATAGAACGCCAGGTAATTATCGCCGTATCTGGGCTGAAAGTTGTGCCAAATACAGCTATAATGACCGGGCGTTCTATTCAGGTGAAGACGGTAGTTTTCCTGCGTGCCTATTGCCATTCTTGTCAATATGCTGCTTGGTCTGTCCATTCATCGATCCATTCTTCCGATCATCTGCGCCTGTGTGTCCGTCACCTGTCTGTCCATCTACTGGTTTGCATGTGTTTATGGCCTGCCTGCTTAGTGGGCGCATCGTGTGGGTTTCACGGAGTTGAATAGCTGCCGTCTTCACCCGAATATAGAACGCCAGGTAATTATCGCCGCCTCTGGGCTGAAAGTTTTGCCAAATACAGCTATAATGACCGGGTGCTCTGTTGGGGTGAAGACGGTAGTTTTCCTGCGCCTATTTGCCATTCTTGTCAACATTGCAAGGTTGCTGTGAGACTGTGTGAGTAATATCTGCCCTTTCTTCTTCAGGGGTATCGCTAGGTTTGGGCAAAACCGTACGGCCAACAAGAAGATTAGTCGAATGCGTTGTGAACGGATCGCTGAGGTTCAAATCCCCGATGCTCTTGGGAAGGTCCAATGGAATTGTGGTGCAAACCAGGGCTGGGGCGCCCGCCGCCTGGCAGGTTCTGCACAGGCTGGGTTCAGTGGGCTGGGCCAGGGGAAGGGTTGAACAGGAAAACCGTCTGCGGCTTTGAGCCAAAAAGGGGCCCAACTTTTCTTTTCGTTTTTTTTTTTTTTTTTTTGGGTTTGGAGCCGGGGCGTGGAGGATGGGCATTTGAGGAGGGGGGGGGGGNGTGCAGGAGCTACAAACAAATATGGACAACAGCAGGAGCAATAGCAAATGAAGAACAGGACTACGAAGAAGACGACGAAGAAGAACCTTGCGAAGGAGGAGATAAAGAAGTTCAAGCACAAGCCACAGCAAACAAATAACAAGACTAAGAAGAAGAAGCAGAATGCAAAGGAGAATAAGATAAAGAAGAAGAAGAAGAAAGGATGAAGATGAGGATAGGGGAAGAAGAAGAAGAAGAGGAAAGGATGAAGACGAAGAAAAAGTGGAGGGAGGGCGGGAGTGAAACGCAGATGGAGGGGGGCGAGGGGGAGGGCAATGGCGATGGGCCGATGGGAAAGTCACACCCTGTGCTCAGAAAAATTGGTGCAGTGAAATCATTTCTACAATCATGCATGAACACTTGTGTGTGTTTTGAAGTCTTGAACAAGCAGAGACTGAAAAGGAAAGAAGGAAAAAGGTGAGGAGAGGCGGGGGGGGGGGGGGGGGGGGGGGGGGGAGGGGGGGGCAGGGTGTGGTTTGGGGGAAAAGGATGGGCGGTGTCTGAAGTTGCAGGAGGAACAACAAACATGGACAACAGCAGGATCAACAGTAAACGAATAACAGGACGAGGAAGAAGAACAGGAACGCAAAGAGGACCACCTCCTCCATCATCCTCCCCCCCCTCCACCATCTGAGCTTTGCTCTCGCCCTCACTCAATTTTTCTTTTTTCTCATGAAAAAAGAAATAATAATGAAAAAATTTGAGTGAGGGCGAGAGCGAAGCTCGGATGGTGGAGGAGGGGGAGGATGATGGAGGAGGTGGAGCAATGGGGGAGGACAAGCCTTGAACTAGCGGCGAAGAAGGAAGATGAAGAGGAGGAAGAGGAAGTACCACAATTGAGAGAGGGCGATAGTGAAGCACAGGTAGAGGAGGTGGGCGGGGAGGACAACAGAGCAGGCAGAGCAGTGGAGGAGGTTGATGGCGGAGGGCAACAGGGGAGCGCGATGAACAAGGACGACGCGGAGGGTGGTGAAGGAGGGCGAGGGGGAAGGGTGAGGGAAAAGGCGGAGCGATCGGGGAGGTGGATGCTGAAAGGCAATGGAGGAAGGTGGTTGAGGACTGCCAGGGGGGAGGACCAAGCTACAAGACCAATCAATAAGTCTGTCACCCCTATACCAAATACCGATGAAGTTGCACGTCAGTAATGCCTGAGTGTCTGATTTTCGATTCAACGGGGGTTTCCCGTTGAAAGGATCAACGGCCGTTGAACCCCCGTTACAACGCCACGCTATACAGCGTTAGGACGCGGTACAACGCGGCCCGCGAAAACTTTTTTCGCAGGCAAGAAATCATCAAAAATAAAAATAAAAATGGGGGTGTATATTTTTTTGCGCTCTACATCCCCCCCATATTTTTATTTTTATGTTTTTAGCATTTAAATTGTTTTTAAAAAACAAAAACCTAACCAGACTCAAAACACATCATTTTTGATTTTTTTTATTTTTTTGATTGATTGATTGATTGATTGATTGATTGATTGATTGATTGGTGGGGGATGGGTCGTCCCCCCACCCCCACCCAATCACACACAACACACACACACACACACACACACACACACACATACACATACACACATACACACACACTTGCGCCAGGTTTGAAAGCGGCTTTTTCCGTTTTTTTTTTTACTTTTTTCTTTTACTTTTTTCTTTTTTTTTATTGATTGATTGATTGATTCATTGATTGGTGGGGGATGGGTCCCCCCCTCCCACCCCACCCAATCACACACACACACAACACACACACACACACACACACACACAACACACACACAC